CACTGCAGTTTCCCATGTGTCTGGCCCCAGGTGTCCCCCACAATGACAGCAGAGGAGCTCACCAACCAGGTGCTGGAGATGCGCAATGTGGCGGCCAGCCTGGACATCTGGCTGACCTTTGAGGCCCTGGAGAACGGGGAGCTGGGTGAGTATGGTGGGAATGACATGGGGGATGCTTTTAGCATGGCTGGGCTGGTGAGGAGGAGGTGTGGAGTACTGGGGGGTGGCTTGCTACCAATGGCAGGAGGAACTGGGACTGGCACAGGGAAGGGGACACAGCGGTGAGAGTGTCCCTGCCTCCCCAGAGCGGCCCCTGCACCCCAAGGAGAAGGTGCTGGAGCAAGCTTTGCAGTGGTGCAAGCTCCCAGAGCCCAGCGCTGCATACCTGCTGGTGAGGAAGGTCCCCATTGGCGAGGGGAGTTGTCTCTTCACAGGTAAGGCAATCACAAAGGGTCCCAGCCCCTAGGGGTGTCCCCAGAGGGGGACAGCTCTGCCTGGTCTTCCCCTTGCCCTGGCCACCACCCTGCAGCCATCAGGGGCACATCCCTGAGACCCACAGTGGGATCACCCTGCAATACCCCAGCCACCCTCACATGCTCCCAGTCCCCCTGACCCCCATCTCCCCACACTGGGCAGGCGTCAAGCGTGAGACCCCCAAGTGTGGGCTGCTGAAATGCCGTGAGGAGCCCCCCAAGCTGCTGGGGAACAAGTTTCAGGAGCGCTACTTCGTCATCCGGGACCGGAGGCTGCTGCTGCTCAAGGAGAAGAGGGTACAAAGGGGATGCTGCGGGGAGGGACCTGCATCCCAAGGACAGGAAGAGAGGCAGGGAGGGAGCCTGGGGACAGTGGTGGCATGGTGGTGGCTGTCCTCCTGGCAGGGAGGCTGGCACCAAGCTGGGCTGACCCAATGGATCTCCTTCCCCAGAGTGCCAAGCCAGAGCGGGAGTGGCCCCTGGATGCAGCCAAGGTTTACATGGGCATTAGGAAGAAGCTGAAGCCACCAGCCCAGTAAGTGGGACCTTCCCTGGCCATGGCCCTGGGGCATACATCCCTCAGTCCCTGCACCCAGCACATGAACCCAGCCACTGGGGGCATGCCAAGCCCCACCAGGACCCAAACCATGACAAGCCTGGGCGAGCTCAGCTCCCTGCCCCACTGCCCACAGACCTTGGGCTGTGTCTGAGCTTGGCAGTGCTGCCCCACAGCCTGTCTCTTCTTTTCACCAGGTGGGGTTTCACACTGACCCTGGACAAGCAGCAGCTGTGAGTATCTGCTCCTGCCGTCCTGGGGCTGGGGGGATGTTGAGATCTGTCCCCAGTTTTAGTGGGAGTGGGACAGCCAGGGGCAGTGCTACAGGGTCCTGGGGGTCAGGGCAGAGCTGGTGCCTGGTAAGGGCGCTTGAGGGAGAGTGGTGGGGCCACATGCTCCCTGACACAAGGTAGGGGCTGCGGTCAATCCATCTCCATACCACTCACCCTTCCTACCTCTCCATCTGCACCAGCACCCCTGGGAGATGTGTCTTCCAAGCACGCAGCACCAGGCTCCAGAGGGACCTGCCCACCCTGCCCAGGTGTCTGTGTTACCTGCATGGCTGTGCTGCTTGCCAGCCTTCACGAACACTGCTCTGTGTCCCCACACACCCAACACCAGGTGCTCCTGTACCCTGTACTGAGCTGGGCTCCCTGCCTCAGCCTCCCTGACCAGGCACACCCGTGTATCCTGCTGATCCTGTCCCCATTTCCCTGATGCTGCCAATGCTGGGGCAGCTGCTGAGCACATCGCCTGCCCCCAACATGGGGCTGAGATGTTCTTCTAAGGGCAGCAAGGGCAGCTGAACCAAGGTGCCTCATGGGTACCCAATGAACTCTTGCCTTGCCCTGAAGCAGCAATGTGGGCATGCAGAGAGTTTCAGTTACACTCTCTGGGTGTAGTTCTGACTGACAGCCCCAGGCTCACAGGCAAGGTGACAAGAGGATATGGGCCCCACTGCTCTCTGGCAGCTTCTCAGCTGACTTCTCTGCAGGTACCTGGTGTGCTCGGGACAGGCTGAGCTGTGGGACTGGACCACCAGCATCCTCAAGGCTCAGGTGGGTGCAGGCTGGCCATGCCACCCAGCTGGGCTGGGCTGGGCTGGGACAGGAGGGGGCCGGCAGGGCAGCTCAGCATGACCCCCCCTCCCTGCCCTGTCTTTGTGCACAGCACGATGACCTGCGCCCTGTGATCATGCGCCGGCGCTCATCCTCAGACCTCGCCAAGCAGAAGTTCGGTACCATGCCGCTGGTGCCCCTGCACGGGGACAGCACCGACACCACCATGCTCTCCGCCAACCAAACCCTGGTAAAGCCCCCACAGCTACCCCTGCCCACCGGTGCTCCTGCACCCAGCCAGGTCCGTGCACCCTCCCCGAGACCATGCACCCACCCCTGGGCCCTGGAGGTGGGTGCATGCTGCCTGGCACCAATGGATGCTTTGGGTGTGTGTCCCTGTGCTCAGCGGTGTGTGTGCGTGCCGCATGCTGTGCTCGTGTCCGTGGCAGCTTTCCGTGCATGCAGGGCCCTGTGAGGGCACATGGGGTGCTGAGCCCCACTACCCGTCCTCTGCCTGCCGAGGCATCTGTGACTCTGCTCCGCACTGTCATGTGCTTATCTCTGCCGTCTCCTCTGTTTCTAGCGCCGCCTGCACACGCGAAGGACTTTGTCCATGTTCTTTGTAAGTACCCACATCGTGGAACACATCTGTTGCTGGCTTTGCACCGTGCCTCCTGGCTACGGCAGCAAAGGTTCACCTGCAGCGTCCCGCCTGCACTAGGAGACATGCCCAGGCCATCTTGCCAATGCTGTGTGGCAGAGGAGGGAGTGCCCATTGCTCTGGGTGTCCCATACCCAGGGATGGGGGTCCCTGCATGGTCCTGGTGTGTGCAAGCAAGACCACAACAGTCCAGCCCAGTTTCCAGACCCTCTCCCATTGGGCGCACATTGCTCAGAAGGGATCGACATAAGAAATGCAAGGAAATAGTTTTGGGTCCTCCTCGCCATCAGGTTATTTCTGCAGGGGCCACCTGGCTGGACCTCACCCGGCTTTGTACTCTGCATGGGCACCCATCTGCCCTCCCCGCTCCCGACCACCTCTGCCAAGGAATGCTGGGCTGGTGCCACAGCCTGGTGGCATGAACCATGCCTCAGCAGGGACCAAAATGCTCACCCTCCATCGGTGATGGGGGAAGAAAGGGCAACGGTGCCTGAGACAAAAGATGCGATGGAGGGTGGGTCCCCTGCACGCATCAGCCCCACGGCGAGGGGGCAAGGGTCCCTGGGCAGCACCCGAGTGCAGGGAGGGCAAGGTGAGGGGGGACGGAGGGGTATAGCTGAGCGGTGCTGACAGTGCCCCTCACCCTGACCACCCGCCCTCCCCCAGCCCATGAAGATGCACCAGGACTCCCTGGAGGAGCAGCAGGAGAAGGAGGTGGACGCCGATCCTGTCTATGAGGAGGTGGGCAACTTCCCTGAACTGGCCACGCTGGAGCTGGGGCAGGGGCTGCTGGCAGACCTGTCGGCCGTGCCTCCTGTGGACAGGTCCAAGAAGCCAGCTCTGTTCCCTGAGCAGCCCCCGGCCACGGCGCTGCGCTCCTCATTGCCCGCCAGCCCAGCCCAGAGGGTGCCGGGTCCCCCCGTCACCAAAGCCCTGTCCCTTGAAAGGGGTTTGAACCTGGAGAGCGACAAAGCTCCAGCCCAGGGGCTCAGACCCACCAAAACGGCCTCTCTGGAGAGGAACATGGAGCCTTCCCTGGCACTGGCTGGGGACTGGGAGCAGGCAACCACACCAGGGAGCAGTCCCAGTGTGGAGATCTCCAAGAAGAGGAACATGCAGTCTCCCCCACCTATCAGCAACAAACTCATCCAGGAGCTCAGCAGTGTCATCCTCAGGAAGAACGAGGGCCAGCCACCCGAGCCAGGCCAGCCAGTGACATGACCTGCCATGCCGAAGGGGTGGCCACCAACCTGGGGGTCAAGTCGTGCCCAGCGGCAGTGACAATGGATACCCCACGCTCCCACATCATGGAGTTCACACCTTCCTCCTCCTCCTGACCCTGGAGGTGGGCTGGAAGCAGGGACTGGTGAGGACCAGGGGACTAGTGGGAACCAGGATGCTGATCTGTGGTACTCCCTCTTGGGAGGGCTGGGGATGTTGCCACAAGTGCTCTTGCTCATGGGTGGCACGTCTGTCATCGGGCCCAGCGCCGAGAGAAGAAAGTAACAGGGAAAATAAAAGCAGAAATATGGTGCCTGCACATTTTGGCAGCATGGCACGGTGTCAGGCAGGGGGGCATGCAGTGCCTGCCAGCATGGAGGAACACAGCATGATGTCCCCTCTACAGCACTGGGTCCGTGGGGCAGGGTCAGGACTCCCAAGCCATCCCCCATTTCCCTTCTTGCACCTACCGTGGCATATTTTGGGTGGGGGTCAACAGAAGCAGGGCTGGCCATGTGTGCCCAGCACGTAGTCCTGGCGATGGAGGACAGCTCCTGCTCAGCTGGGGTATTTATACCTGTTCCTTCCACCAGCAAGGAGAAATAAAGGTTTATTTGTGCTCTGGAGGGTTTGGTCACTGCAGGAGGAGTGGTGAGGGATGCCAGGGTCTGGCAGGCGGGAAGATGGGGGTGCCAGAGCCAGGCACCCAGCCGGGGGACCCATGGGATGGAGGCAGTGCCAGCGGCATCAGAGGAACTGCAAAACTGGGGCAAAGTCCTGGTGAACCTCAGATCCAGGGTGGGATTTTCTGCCCAAGTCTGCTGCCAGCCTGGGACAGCACGGCACTTTGTGTTGGGCACCAAGGTGCAGGATCTCCCCTCCCTGGGGCAGGGGAACACAGCCCAGTACCCCCTAGCCCTACCTACAGCTGGCTCTGCTTGCTGGACCTCAGGGGCAAGGCTGCCTTCTCCAAGACCCTCCCTACCAAGGTCTTGAGCCGCCCCCAGGCAGCAGCTGCCTGCATCCTGGACTCAGCCCTGAAAATTCTGGGAGACATAAAAGTAAACAAAGGGATTGAAGCAGTTGTTGAAGGCACTGAGCACCAGGGCCAGGGCGTACCAGATGTAGGTGACGTTGGTGCACCCTGTGGCCTCCAGCATGCAGTGGATGAAGAGCAGCACATTGCTGGGGGTGAAGCAGAGGATGAAGACCAGGAGGACCAGGGCCAGGACATGCACCACCTGCCCATAGCACCTCCCCTTGGCCAGCAGCCATGCCAGGATGCAGCTGTAGGAGATGGTCATGAGCACGAAGGGCAAGCCAAAGCCCAGCCCCACTAGGGAGAGGAAACAGTAGATAAGGAACACTTGCTTATCCTTTCCTAGGACATTGTGGCACGTTGTGATGTTCAGGCTCAAGATATGATTTGTCTGGGGGTACAAAAGCAGAGGGCTCATGCCCAGCCCCACTGCCAGTCAGATGCCTACACAGACGCCCGCTTTGCCCCACGTCCAACTGGAGCCCTTCCACAGGAACGAGTGGACCACAGAGATGTAGCGTTCCAGGCCAACGCAGGTGAGGAAGAAGAAGGAGCTGTACATGTGCCCATAGAAGAAGGCCACCGTGGTGTGGCACAGGTAGTCCCCAAAGAACCAGTGATTGCCCAAGAGGTGGTAGAAGATCTTGAAGGGGAGCAGGAGGACAAAGTCCTGGTCAGCACTGGCCAGGTTGAGGAGGAAGAGGGTGCTGGAACATCTCCTGAAGTTGGTCACCAGGATCCAGCAGGCCAGAGTGTTGGCCAGCAGCGCCGTGAGCAGAACCAGAGAGTAGAGGGCAGGGAGGACACAGGTGGTGAGGGTGCTGTTGAGAAAAGCTTCCACAGAGGCACTGGGGCACATCATTTCTTCTTGGGGAGTGAGAGGAATCAAGATTTGCCCTTTGCCAGGCACTGTGGAGGACACAAGGCATCAGGCTCAGCAGAGAGCCCCCTCCCACTGCTCCTTCCCACTCAGGACCACGCAGAAGATGTCACCCCTCCCTGCGGAGCCGCCAGCAAATGCAGGAGCTGGCGTCTCTCTGCCCTGTGGCAGGGGCAGCTCAGGACACAGAATCCCTTAACATCCTGCCACCCTCACCATGAGGAGCCATGCCACATCCTGCGCTGCCCACGCCGCTCGCCTGGCAGTGCCACTCCAGTGGTGCCAGCCCAGCTGGGCACCCTGCCCGCAGCCCAGACAGGCTCTGCTCCTGCGTGTCGCTGTGGGGACACACGGCTCCGCTGACGTTCCTCTTCCTACCGAGCCCAGCACAATTGGTCTCCTGCAACCCCATGGGATCAAAAGGGCAGACAGGAAACCCACGCCAGGATGGGAGATGTTGTCCCACCAGGGCTCCTGCCTGCTCCTCCTCCTGGCCAGCCCTCCAGCTCAGCCCCCAGCCACAGCTGGGGCTGCACATGCCTCCCCGTCTTCCTGTGGTCAGAGGCTTTTCACTGCATGCTCAGAACAAAAGTGAAGAACAGGAAGGTCCCAGGACACCAGATAAACAACTCCTGATCAAATCCTTTTTCTGGCTTGGTCAAAAAACACAGCCAGGCTCTGCTCCCCTGCATGTCACCCCTGGCTCCAAAAGCTCTATCCAGGTCGTCCCCAGGATGCCCCCAGGACGCCTGGCCCCAGGGGGCCCCAGTTACATCCAACAGGTTTCCCGCAACCTCTGCCACCTCTCCGCATCCAGGGGACAGGGGAAATTCAGGTTAAGAGAGCAGTAACCTGATTTTTGCTGCCAAAAGGGAAAGGGGTGGCAGGGTTTCAGATCTTCACTTAGGTTTTCAACATGGACCTCAGGGAAGGCAGCAGAGCAGTGCCCCGAGCTTTCACTATGACACCCAGCTATCCCCATCAAGTATTCCAGGACATGATATCTGGGTATCCCAGTGAGGCCTCCCTGCCCTGCCCCATCACCCCCCAGACCCACCAAGGCACTTACTTGGGGAGAATTGGATGGCCGAGCCAAGCCAGGTCCAGCTGAGCAGGAGGGTGATGCAAAGACAGCAGCTGGGACATCTCTGCAGGGTGGCCTCTGCGCAAGCTGGGTCCGCACAAATGCCACAGGCAGGGCTGGCTCCACTGTGCGTCACCGTGGCAGGACAGGCACCAGCCCCCTCCCCGCTGTCACCCTTCCTCTTTCTCCTCCTCATCATGCCTGTGTCCTGCTCATGTCCCCCTTGTGCGAGCGGCCAGACGGGAGGTGGGGACCACAAGATGACCGCCAGCTGCCACCACCACCGAGCACCTGGGGGACGTCATTGAGGTCGGGGTGATTTCCAGCCACTAGCACACAATGGCATGCTGCAGGTAGGAAGAAGCAGACGTAAGGCAGCCATCAAAACACTGTTGTGAACCGCAGCAGGCAGGTGGAGCTGTACGTGCCCCAAGCGTGGGGCAGGAATGAGGGAGCTGGCTCCCAGCTCGGTGATGCAGCACCCTGGGGACACAGGGCACTCTGCCTGCCCAGCCCTGCCAGGACCAGACATCCCCAGGGATCAGTCACCTTGTTCGGCCTGAGAAGCCAATGTCACCCTGTAGATGGGGCCGGCCTGCATTGTCCCACTCTGCTGTCCCCTTCTTGCCACCAAACTGGGTGCTGGGTGGCCCCTGGTCCATTTTCCTGGCTCCCTCCTGCAGCAGAGGGGCCATGGAGGGGAATAACAGACCTGGTGACACAGCCCCAGCCCAGCCTTGTGCATCAACATGCATCAGGGGAACCAGGACATGTGCAGCTGACCCCCAAAATGTCAGTGAAAGAGCAAGAAGGTGACAAAAGGGACAGCAGGGAGATCCACAAGCTGTGGAAGCACAGGCAGAGAAAAAGCAGGACAGAAAGAGAAGTGAGAGCTGAAGGGGATGGGAGGGGGATGAGAGGGGGACAGAGGGACCGGGGGACAGATGAGGAAATGGCTGGCTGGGGAGCCCTCGTGATTCTGAATGCCACTGCTCAGCACTGCGCCCGTATCCCCATGGCAGGGTCGTGCCAAGCCAGGGGCCCTATGTCCTCCATGTGACACGAGACCCCATGTGTCCCTGTGCCTGGGGCCTGAGGCTCCACTGCCCCACATGCCCCCATACCCCAGGATCAGTGCCCCTGCACCCCACATGTCACCACATCTCAGGATGAGTGTCCTGTGTGTGCTCATGCACAAGGACTCGGTCCCCAGCATTCCCAAAGTCCCTGTGCCCCAGGGGTCCCCACGCCCCCCTGCCCAAGGACATGAGCCTCAGTGCTCCCGATCACCCCATCTCCCCATGTCCCAATCTCCCTGTGTTCCCTTGACCCCATGTCCCCGTGTTCCTGTCCCCCTACCTCCCCATCTCCCCATGTGCTGGCGTCCCCATGTCCCCATCTCCCTGTCTCCCCATGTCCCCGTGTCCCTGTGTCCCCATATCCCTTTGTCCCCTTGTCCCCATGTTCCCGTATCCCCGCATCCCCGTCTCCCTGTGTCCCTGTGTCCCTGTGTCTCCATGTCCCCTTGTCCCCAGGTCCCCGTGTCCCCAGGTCCCCGTGTCCCCACATCCCTGTCTCCCCATGTCCCCTTGTCCCCGTGTCCCCATGTCCCCATGTCCCCTTGTCCCCGTGTCCTCGTGTCCCCATACCCCCTTGTCCCCTTGTCCCCGTGTTCCCGTGTTCCCGTGTCCCCACGTCCCCGTCTCCCCGTGTCCCGTGTCCCGGCGCTCCGGCGGGACGTGCAGCACTGACCACTAGGCGGCGCGCGGGGCAGGGCGGTGGGCGTGGCTTGCCTGGCGCGGTAGGCGGTGCTTGCCCGACGGGAGGTGTCGTTCTCCTGAGAAAAGGGGCGGGCCGAGGGGGGGCGGTGCTTGGCGGGGGGGCGGG